TGTGCTGTGTTTGACAAGAGTTGAACTGGATACCCGCACGACAACCCCTGAGCCCTCAAACCCAAACATAAGTGACGATCTCCGAGGATCGTCAGCAGTGCGGTGGACCTCACACTCAACCTGGTGAATGCACCTTGGCATTCAATCAGGGCCTGTGCTATTCCCAAAGACCACATACAGTCTGTTTGGGCGGAAGCAGGGCGGAGCACAATATGAACATGTGCAGTACCGAGTATCTTTGCAACAGAGAGACTTTGTGACTGTCAACAGGTTCAACATTTTATACGTAGGCATGCCAGGCAGTCACCAGGGTCAGTCAGAGAGCAACGAAACTAAAGGGGCTTCATAACAAAGGGGCTCGAGGATCGTGAACGACTGTTTCTGTGTGTCTCTGTGTGGGGGGTGGGTGTTTCCCCTCCCCCCCCCCCCCCCCGAAGAGCAGCCCCGCAAGGTTGTTGTTCGTGGCAAACGCTTGGAGTTGCAATTTTCTCCGGCAAATACCGGGCATTCAGCTGCCAGGATGCCTTGTCTACACCTAGTGAGAGTCAGTCAACAGGGGGAGCAGCCTGTCGGAGTCTATCAGCAAAGCAAGCCCAGCTTCCCCCGGCAGGTGCAAAACGAGCTCCTCAACCAGGTGCATGGGTATTTGGCGTGCTGTCCTCCCTAAACCATCCTAAGCCCTAACCCTCGACCAATATTCTAAACCCCTCTTCAACCCTGCACCCGAAAGTGTTGAATGCGGCTTTCGGGGCAGGTCATGCTCGTGCGGATACTGCGTTTGCTCCGCCTGGCACGTGCAGTTCGCAGCCAGGTCTGAAGTCAGAAGGTTTTCAGGGTCCTTTCACGTTTAACAGGGTTTTAGGTTCAGGATCAGGGGCTTGGGCATTTCATGGCTCCCAGTCCCAGGCCCGAAAAGTTCTATTCACTTAGTGAGGCCTGATTACATTCCCAAGCCCACTACATTCGAAGTGCAGATTTCGTGGTTGACGGGTTTTGCAGTCCGGGCTCTGGGTTGTTTTGGAGAGACCGAGGGCTTCAGTTTTTTTGGGGGTTTCTGGCATCGGCACGCATCGGGCCTGGGGCGATCTTTGGACAGGCAGAAGCATGGGTCCTCTTCGAAATTCTTGTCAACTTGGCAGGTGCTTTCAGAGGCCCAGTAAGAACCAATGTAGGGGACGTGAATCGCCGTCTTGCCTTACTAATTTGAACGGGCTTCTTTGAGGTACAACACCGTATAATCCATCAGGGAGCCCTGAGGCATAGTATCTGGTAGTTCAGGCCCCTATCTTGAGCTCGTATGTCCAAGCCTTCTGGGCCAAGGCTTGATCGTCCTCTTTCAGACGCTCTGGCAGCTGGTGCAAGGGCTTCTGCACAGTGTCGCCTGGCTTCTATATGGCTGTTGTAGCATCCGGCCGGCGTTCTCCATCTGAAGCTTGGCAGTATAGGACGTCGGTTTGCATAGTGGACGATCGAGCGCTCTTGGACGTCAACTTAAGTGTACGACTGAGGGTTGGGGATTTGGGGTTTGTAAGCTCGGGAAACGGGTGCTCAGAACACGACCTGTTTGTGGCTTTGTGGGCAAGTGGCCTTAGTCCCCCTCTAAACGACGAGTCCTTCGAACCTTTGGGTGTGACCGGATAAATTCAACTAGAATGCTTCAATCAATGCGGATTTCCTATCTGAAAGTGCTTATGGCCATGGACATCAGGTGACAACACTTTTCTGGACCTTCCTTTTGGTCATGAAGCTCGGCTGCTCCGAGGGTTTTGATCCCCGTTGCTCATCCCGGGTTCTGCTCTCCACCTGCATGTCTTTCGGACCCAAGGAGCTGCCCAATCATGTGAAAAGAGGAAGTAGAAACCTAAACTCCTAAACGCTAAACCTAAAGTCTGGAACTCAGAACTTTGTAGACCCTAAGCTCTGTGGGCTGCCTTCACATGCACTGCGTCAGCTGCAGAGCGGCCAATATCATGGAGGCCGAATATTTCATGATAGTATCCCCTAGCCCCCCCTGATAAAACCACATCATGTATAATTCGAATGATTCAGGTCCGGGTTTAGGGCCAGGTCGAAATTCGCGGGAGTGGGCAATCTTCTTGTTCCTAGCCGTCCCCCCGACGGAGTGTTGAACCCCCAAAAAAAACGCAGTTTGATCATGCAGGGTTATGGCAAACCTGACAGGTAAGCATGCAGATTGACCTTCTGCTTACGAGGTCCCTCCCCCCGTTTCCTCTAGGTTTGTGGAGTGGGTAGGAAGTTTAACTCTTTAGATTTTTCCTGAAGCTGCCGCTTGCGGCATGATCCAGTAATTCCCATAGTTAAGTTTAAGGTACTACTGCAGGCGTTCGGGGGCTTTTGAGCAAGGAATTTTCGGCACCCGCAGACAACAGAACCGCCGAGGATCTTAATCTACATCTTTGCCATCATCGGCATGGAGCAGCTCGCCGGAAACATCGTGCTTTGCACCTATAGCGCCCCAAGAAAAAGTGCAGCACCCATTCCGGCGTTCGGAGTTAAAGCCTGCCAGGTTTATTTCAGAGGACCCGGCTCTTGACGCCAACCACGAGCCACTTGGGCAGAATGAGCCATGTTCTTCAGGGGCCGGTTTCATGGACTCGAGATCGTGGAGCACTCTTGAAGGCTTGGGCGGGGCATTGTTGTATGATTTAGCGACACACCCAAAGCGGAAGCTAAGCAATTTTAGCGAGGGCGGACTTATCAAAAAGTCGCCTTGGAGGTACAATGTCGCTGCCAGGGAGAACTTCAGCAACTTTGGGGATCCTCGCTTGCATTCGAGCGACGGCTGGGGTTCACTTTCCATGTTTGTAGCGATCTAGGGCCTGCAGAGGCCAGGGGTCATGCGGTACTTTGAGGATTTCGTTGCAGGTTTTAGTGGAGTTGTCAGTGCTTCACTTGGGGTAGTCACCTGGATCTCATGACCATGTATTTCACAACTACAGGCCGGATGCTGTCTCAGACTTGAAATTTCAAGCAGTTTGTGAGCGTACGTACATATATGCATGCATGCATGCATGCCAAAAAAGAGAGATAGAGAGAGAGGTAGGTATACACTCACGCATACACACACTTCAGAAGCAGCCGTTCATCCCCACCGCACCGTACGATGGTTGTGTGGGCACAATCGGCATTGAATTTGTCGGCAAGCCCATGTCAATGCAGGTGCCTGTCTCCCGAATTTCAATCTTCAGCTCTACTCCACTGCAACTTTGAAAGACGGAAACCATTACAGCCGCATCACCGCATCGTTCCAGGCAAGCCGCCCACACCCCGAAACAGTTAAGGGCAAAAGCCCTGAAGACCATGTTTCGAGCAGAGCAGCTCTGACGAAATCCAGGATGCCATCATGACCCTTCTGCAGATGTTCAGTATGGATAGCATTGGCCTCTCGACTTTCATTCGGGGTGAGGGGCTTTCTGATTGCTAAGCTGCAGTATATGTTTCAGACAGTTGCGTTTGAGATCTCGGAGGCTTCATGAACGAAAACTCGGGCATCAGGGCTGTACATGAACGAGATCATGCAGAAAACTGGGAATTGACCCTAGCGGAGGGGTTCTGGACAAGCAGCAAGAAACAGCTATAAACAGCCCCTTGCAGGATCGATATTTCAGAATATGCCCTTCAAAACAACCGCAACTAAGAACGCTACATACTACCCTACCATAGCTACGTCATGTTGTCGTTTGTGAAAGCAGCATTGCATGTCAGATGTTCTCGATGCTTCCTCCTGCTCTGAGCTGGGTGCAAGTTGGGTTTTCCGGTTTTGGGTTTCGTGTTTGTAAACCGATATGACACCTGAGATACTTGCAACTTGCAACTGGTCAGGCGCCGTCTACAGGCCCTTGGTCAAGCACCGGCGCTTTGGCAGCAACGAGTCGCTCGGGGACTATGCGGTTACGGTTATCCTTTGCTGGTTCTGGCTTCCTTAGGGACTTGCGGGTTCAGGGCTGCAGGGTTCAGAGATTTTGAGTGCAGATTGGCTTGCTTACTTCCGCATGCAACTCCGTGGCCTTGCGCCAGTTAGCCTTTGCTGTGCCAGGTTGCCCAGTATTTCCGTTCTTCCTTTGCTTTTTGTCTTGTGTTCCGTATGAAGATGAAACAGAAAGAGAGAAGTATGTAACCCCTTTACAGGGTTGTTGACGAACTGCCCCAACTGCTAAATGGATACACTTCTGTAGTACACGAGCAAGTATATGATAGGAGAGCACACCCTTGCATTGGTTTGTGGTGCGCCAAAGATTTCAAGCCCAAGGGCACTGGTGCAATTATGGGTGGTGTTGTCTCAGTTGTCTCCTGCTTTGACTTGGGCATGGCTTAACCTGCGATACCCTACGCTGCACCTTGCACGCTCTCCAGACACGTTTCGTCCACTGGCTGAGCAGGTTCGCAACCTTCTTCTACTTCATGACTCTTGGCAATGAAGGTCGTAGGATGAATGCTTGCGGGGCTTGCGAGTGGCGTTGGTACTTGACCCAAAGCTTCGAGAAGGCTTGGAGGTTAAACTTGTGTCTGGACCCGGGACTCTCGTGTGTAAAGTCGTTATGTTTTGTTGGGTGCACGACGAATACAGCTGGAGGGCCTTCGGTTCGCCTTTCGGAAAGTTTATCTCAGTTGCTGAAGCTCCGTGCAGTTCGCGAAGCTGTTCTGGTGTCGGATCTGCAGCAGACCAGTTCAGATACACTAGCCCTAAGCCTGTTAAGCCCTACATTGCGTCCGAAGTTCAGGCAGGCAAGTTCTGATCTGCATGTGTAGGGAATACAAAACTGGTACCGGAGTGTTTGATGCACCTCCTGCAGACAGTTGAGGTCCGTCGAAGCCGTTAACATCAATGCACACTCACCGACCCTACAAGCGTTCAGGCTCTAAGTATCCTATCAAACTCCTAGCAAATTCAGAATTCAGACCACACCTCTAGTGTACCAAGCTTTTACAATAAGGGGGAGTTGCCCTGCCCGATCAGAAATAAGCATCCCGATATGGCCATGGCCTCAGCGCTTGTTCTGGCGCTGCTCTTCCAGCTGCACGCCATCGAGGGAAAGCTCCTGCACCTTGCCTGGGTCCGTAAGGGCTAAACTAAACGCTCCGGGTCTAAACTTTAGGGGTGAAGGTTTCGACTTCAGAGGTTTAGGGCCACAGTCCACGAACCAGAAAAGGGTTGAGGAGTTTAGTAGGCTTTTGTTTTTGAGTTGGGGTTCTGAAAGGACCTGATAGGGTTTTGTAGGATGATCAGATACAACACCTGCTGCATCACCAATATTGGCAAAGTTGGGGTACAAGTGCGTCTCTAGCTGTAGCTACAGCGGAAGCCCTTTCTTACTCGGATATGTTTACCCGCGGAGCTTCAAGCGAAACTAAGTTTCTGGAATGCAGTTCATTTCGCAGCAATGTTTGTAGCGAGTTAACGACGTAGGCAACATCAGAAACCTCCATCCCAACCCCAAACAAACCTACAGCGGCAGCCCTTTCCATCCGGAACTGAAGGAATCTTGCTGTAGAAATCTTGCAGTTCTCTTTTGAGGTTTAGAAGTTAGAATCTTATATTCAAGCACCAAGAGGATCAAGTAGCACAGGAGCGTTGCTGTCCTGCCGCACGGAGACTTTGCCTACGATCCCGGCTTGGTGAATCGCTCTGGCAGGGCACAGGGACGAGAGAAGTTGGGCTTGCAACGTAGTTCCCTTGGGGCGAGTCTTGTTCATTTCCCGTTTGCGGCATAAAGAACACATTAACTCTGCATCCTTGGAGTCCCTGGCCCAAAAAATGAGCCCTTTCAAGACCGTATAACCGTGATGACCCAACACATTTCATCAAACCCCTCTAGAACCCTTACGGTAGAACCTTTGAGTAGTCCTGTGAGCCCCTGTAGGCGGCTCCGTGCAGCTTCATACCGCGGCTCGGGAGCTGGGGCACGACATCTCCGAAGAAACGCCGGAGCTCGGGGGGGGCTTGTGCCGCTGACGGGTTCGAAACGGAGTGGGTGTGGGGGTGGGTACTCTAGGGCCTAAACAAGTACCAATACTGTTTTGGGGGCTTTGGTGTCAAGGGTCAGGCTTGTCCAGGGCTAAGGCTGTAGGCTTGATGGCTTCATGGTCTGGTCTCGATCGATGAAGGGTTTAGGTAAGTCGTACAGTTGTCGGAGTTCTGATTCGTTTGAGTCGTAGAGTCCATGTGCTACTCCAGGAGTCCATTTCTTCCAGCCACAGCGACTGCTTTGTCCTGGACTAACCTTAAGCCTTAAACTTTAAACCCGAGTTCATAGCATCGCTGCCTGAGACAGGGCCCTCGACACATCGTCTCTTCTGTAGAGCCGGCGGTGTGTCAGGCCCGTCCCTACAGAAACCTATATCCGAAACATTAGAAGTCTATACCCTGAAACCGACACCCTACATGGCACAGCGTAGGAGCTGCTGTTTGTGACAACGCCTCATGGTCTTGAGCTTTCGCAACGATATCTCGCATCTCTGCTTCACTCTATCACAGCCGACTCTTCTGGCTGACATTGAACTGGACTGCTTGGTTTCAGGGCTTGTAGTGTATATGATCGTGTTGCAAGCAACGGGCTTGATGAGAATCGCAGTGTGCTTCAGGGGTTGTGAGTTGTGAGTGTGTCCAGAGCAAGTGCTGTTGAACAAAACAGAAACAGGTTTCGAGGTCTGGACGTGCATTTTTGCGGTTCAGCACCCGCTGGCAAGGTATATCTCAATAGCCACAATGCCGGCGCTTCCCCGCTAGATGATATGCCGCATGCTGCTGGAAACAGGACGGGCAGAAAATGTAATTAGGCCGGGGTTTGGGATTTGGGTGCTGCTGCCTGCAATTCTTGGGTTCAGAGGCTCATCGGCAAAAGTGAGGGTTTAACCTTAAATTAAGGTCCTTTCGGCTAGCTGGCGATTCAGAACGTGTCCCGCAGTTCGGAATGCGGCGGTACTGGCTGCCAGAAACTTTACTTGCATGCGTAAGATAACAAAAGGAATTAATGACAGTTACTTAGTTAGCACAGTTTTGCAGTGATTCCAATCGTCCCATCAGTATATAACTCGCAGGACTGTTCCGATGAATTTCACCAGCCCCCAGAGTCTCGACACTTGGCTGTGGTTGCGCATGGAGTTCGAGCTAACCCACAAGAACAAAGGGATACCAAGGCTCTTTCAAGTTTCTGTTCCCCTCTTAAGCCTAAGTTTCTCAGAGTGGTTTATCGGCAGGCTCCACAGCTTGGAGGTTCAATTAGGGCCTTGGGCTTTGACTTGTCTGAGGGGTTGGGTTGCAGCGCCGCTCAGAGCATGGAACGCAGATGTGACAGAAGCTGCTGAACACAAAGCTCCTACAAACCCGGACCGTCCACACGAAGGCGATGCAGCTGTTGGAGCATCTGCAGAACGAGAAGCTACCAGCAGAAGGGCTGCGAGGCTGCCTCCATGACCACGGAAAGTGTGAGGCCAGCAATACTGTGTCTACTTTGAGAAAGTCCTTACTGATCTGCATTTGTGCCAGCATGCGGACTGGCAGGCTTTTCAGATGCCCAGCCGCTGCCAATTTCCTGGGGCATCTGGGTGAAGTCAAGACATATTATGCTGTTGATGCGCAGAGTTTTGTGCCGCAATTCGCTGGAACTAGCTATCGCCAATGTACAAGATCTTGTTCATCAGCAATGCCCTCCTCAAAGCCCATGCCGTAGTCCTTGGTGGATCTATCAGGTTTCCTGGTAACCTTAGCTTCAGTGAGCATTCGATGCAACTTTTCATGCCTGTTTAGCGGGAGTCGCTAAGTCGAGGTTGAGGGGTTGGTATGGGTTTGGTTACCATCTGTCTGGTTTTTGGCCCCCACACCCCCTCCTCCACTGAGGCGAGATACTGCCGTTGAGCTTTGTGCAGAAGGCGCGCGAGGACGCTCGGAGGAATACACATACGTACACAATATAAAAATAGTTGTTTTTGCGGCTGTTTCCTGTCAGGAAGGCCTTCCGCACTGCGCATGGAATGCCTCAAGCCGAAGCCGGACACGTCACGCCAGAACGTAGGCAAGAAAGCATACACCCCATAAACATTCAGACCCTGAAACCCCAGAGCTCAAGCTCCAAAACCCCTTGCCACCCCAAGGCCCACGTGGCCGGAGACTGAAATCCCGAACCCAACGAACAAAGCCTTCAGTTTTTGTTTTCAAAATTTCCAAACAGCAGAGGATCAGGGGCTCGATCTTCCACCAGTATTGCTGATGTCCTTCCCGCTGCGGTGCTTGGCCTGGGCGAGATGGGGATTACAGGGTTTTACAAGATCTCTTGTGAGGGCTTGTGCCAGAGAGGGCGGGTCCGTAGAGCGAGGGTCCAAAATGTCTGCTTTGTTCGTCAGTGAGGGGTCGTTAACATCAGCTCCTTGAGTACTTGGGATGCTTTCTCAAGATGAACAACGACATCTCAATGTAACCCCATGACAGCCCTGGACTCTACTGATAACCCGCTTAGCCCTGAATCCTTCAACGTTCTATCCTACTAGACCACCCAACCCTCGAACCGCTTACTCCGCAGATGTGTTTGGGAGTTTCGGCACTTCTCCGAGGCGCTTCAACCACTCGGACTCGATGGTTCCTGCGCTTTGGATGCTGTCGAGCTGTTAGGTTTTCGGCCGTCAGCGTGACCGGCCCATTTTCCTGGTCTCCGCAATCTCAAGCAGGTAAGCCGTCAGAGCCGCATACCCCACCTCTAAACCTGACACCTGCGATTAATCATGACAAGAGCCGTTTATGGTTTGCACCTGTCTTTGTGGCTTTCACCCTTCCGGCATCGCCGAGCCGGGATTGCCGAGTGTGAGCGCCGAATCGTGAACTTTCAGCCTTTCCCCAAACCCAAGGCCCCCGAGCCAAGCACATAAACCATGTAATCCCCCGAAGTGCCATGAGGAGCTTCTCCGGCTCGGTTCTGCCACTGCAGACTTTTTGGAGGCCATGAGGCTTTGGGCTTTTGGGTAAGGTTTAGGGCTTCAGAGCAGCCCCTGAGGCTGCATACCCTGGGTCTTGCGATCATATACAGGCGATTGATCGTCTTAGTCGTTGGGCTTTCGGCCTGAAAGGGTTTAAGCTGCTCGTTTTTTGTTTTGCTCGTGGGCGGGGGTTTAGGGGCCAGAGGCGGTTCGATTCAAGGTTGACTCGGCTGGGGTTGCAGGTTATGAATTTGAGAGGTTGTGTCGTGTTTCGAACGGGATCGAAGGTCATCAGGGCATTCATTGTCTGTAAGAGACTAGTTGCGGCGCTGGGATGATGTGGCTTCTCACGTCTTACTACACTAAAGCTCAAACCCACAGCCCGAAGCTTCGAGAATTTGCTAACCTCCAAAACAAAAAACGCACCCAACTCTTCCGCAAAAGCCAAAACTATCCCGTTTCCACAAGCTGCGAAGGCCTTACCCCAGCGCGTGGTGTGGATTGTCTCCGCGGACTGCCTGCGGCTCTGCAGTGGTAGTCCTCACCGTATTGACGCCTCCACAGATCGACTTGGATTCAAAGTAAGGGTTTAGGGACTGCTGTATACACAGCCGCAAGGGTTTGCCAGCCTCTTGTTATGGGCTGATAGTGGAGTAAAACTGTAAAATCATCGTGAAACTGTTGAGGTGCCTCCACATGAAAGCCAGCAAGTAAATTACAAAACGCTCATACATGAAGATCCTTGCCTGTACAAAGACTATACATAATTCCTGTAAAGCCCATAAGCAGCCGTTGTACGTAGAGATGCCAGTGCCCCACAGGCCCAAAGTTAAGTTTTTGCAGAGCTCCCAAAATCAGAGGAGGGGTGTTGGGTTTGAAGGTCCGGGCCAGGTGGAAGGTTTAAGGATTCGGGTATTTGGGCTTCAGGTTTGGGATCAGGGTTGTTGGCTTTCGGGGTATAGGCGCAGGGATTTGGGCTTCTGTATAATTAAAATCTTATGATGCTCGGGGTTTAGGAGAGCTACGCCTGGTGAAAGCAGAAGCGCAGGACCTGGCGCACACGCACCTCGCTTCTGGCCCTTACGGCTTCTTGCTGCATTTGTACACGACCCCTAGACCCTCGAGCCCAAGTTGCGGGCACGAAGAGCCCACGCAAAGGCTCGTCCTCCCCACTTCGTGCAGGCTTTGAGGTTCTACAGGGACCTATCAGGGTTTGGTGGGACTTTCATCGGGTCTTTCGGCCCCCCAAAACCGTACACGCCCCAAACCTTCACCCTTTTTCGGGTATTGTGGGGTTTGAGCTCGCAATTTCTTGTTTTTCGTGGTGGTGGTGGTGGTGGTGGTGGTGGTGGTGGTGGTGGTGGTGGTGGTGGTGGTGGTGGCTGGGCACTTTTCTGGCAGGGACTAGGGTACAGGATTACGAAAGACATAGCTGTAGGCTTTATACAAGGCTGATTGTTTGGGGTGATGAGGGTACGGCTAAGGTTTAGAGTTTGGAGCTTGTGAGGCCTACAGGGTTTAAATGTATGAGATTCAGAGTTTCTGACTTTAGGATTTTGGGACAGTTTAGAGTTTAGGGTTTGTGCAAGGCGAGACGCAAGTAGCAAGCCGGAAGCTTTGTCAGGCTACTGCCCTTGCGCGCAGCCCTTCGACGACGCCGTCGTTCGCTGGGCCAGGGTGCCACGGCCTTCGTGCTGTATGACCGTATGGTAGTCACTGATGGGCCGAGCCCGAGGATTTGGGTGTTGGTCTAACACGGGTTCGGATCTGTGTTTTCGAGCGCAGTAGGTTCAAAGCCTGCATCTTGAGACATAAGACAAGCTCCTAACTGTCAACCATCTTGAAACCGACATCCCGAAAACCCCCAAAACCCCGTACCTGGTCAATCTGAGAATGTTACGCTTTCGGAGCACGCACATGCAGACATACATAATAAATAAGTATATATATATATATATATATATACATACACACATACACACACATTTAAATTTGCTTTATATGCTCCGGATTCAGCTGCTTGACCTTGTTCCAGGCTTGGCTGTTCAAGAGAGCTGTTAGGCACCATCGCACGACCATCTCATCTCATAAACCATGCAAGGCCCACTATTTGATAAGTCCCAGATTACAAAGAACGAAACTCCTGATAAAGTCTTCGCCCAGGATCTTCCTTCCGAGTCTGCCGCCGAGGCTTTGCTGCACGAGGCGCCATGTCGTCTCGAACAACAGTTATGTAGGGCCTGAAAAAAGCAGCGAAGCAAAAGAATTGAGACCTTTGGAGATGTTGCGTGAAACGTGTATGTTTCGGTGGTTTTAAGAATTTATGGCGCCCTTGAACGAAGGGTTTGGGATCGGGGGTTGGGGATTGAGGCTTGAAGCTTACCTTCTAGCAAGACATTCAAGTGCCTGTTCTTGGATGCACTATCGTCCTTGATAGTGGGTCTTTAGGATGTAGTACAGGGTAGTTCGAGTGGTTGCTGCTGGCTGAAAAGTTATCACCTATCTTGATATAGTAGCATAAATCTTAGAACGTTCCCCTGAACATGTCTTCGTTCAAGCTCATCTTATCGACCTATGTTGTCACGGTAGGGTTACAAGGTTATGATGCAATAGTGCTTTATCGCTTTTGCCCTTATGCCCTAAAGCCCCCGGCATATCCTCATACCCTACAGCTCCTGACCAAGCCCCTTAAATGTCAACCCTGATACCCGAAAGCTCCTCAGACTCTGTTGTCCGAAGCCCGCAAAAGCACAATTTTGCTTGGCCGAGAGGCAAAAGACAAGGCAGCTTCAAAGCCGCAAGAATCGCTTCGCAGGGTCGCGGCTGGCAGCGTGCTGGCGCGGCCTCCTGCGGCTTCACTGGGTTGGTGGCTGCGCATGGGGCTCCTCAGCAAGATATTGAGGAAGAAGGGCTAGGCTATGTGGGTCGCGTTTCTCGGGCGGACATTATTCGTTCGGGTTGGCTTTTTCGCAGGATTTCAGGTGCTTTGCGCGGTTCAAGACTGTGCTGTCGCATGTTAACTGTAGGGGTTTAGGAAGTTTTGGACCAACAGGGCTTGCGTGTTGAAGAGTTGCGGGCTTCGCGCTCTACTTCTGTCAGGATCATGCTGTCAGGATCATGTTTTCGTTCGCCTACCGCAAGCTACTCTTAAGTCAGCATGGGGGGACTAGAATTTGGTCGCTGAGTTTTCCGCTCAATAGACATCGCAAGGCCATGGCCCACATCTCCAACCTCACCGGCCTTCCAACATGGAGGGGCCAGGCTGGCCTCAAAAGCATCAGGGCTTGTTCTTAGACCCTGAGTTGTAATGCCAATCTGGAGAGCATTTTTTCGATGGTTAGTATGCTAGAATCTGCAAGTGGGTCTGCAGAGCCTCCTGGGTTACAAGCTTCTTATGTGGGGTGCGTATGCCGCTGTGCAGGTGTTGGCCTACGCGCATCCAACCTACTACGGTATGATGGTGGCCAGATTTGAGCGGCAGCTAGGGGTCGTGGTGGTCTAGGTGGGGCTCTTCTGAAATTGTGTTGTTTCACAATACCCGAAAACCGAACCTCCCAAGCCAAAACCATTAAATCCGAATTCGTTATATTGCATAAGGGGGACTTGCGTTTAGGTTTGAGTCGGTTCTTTCCTTGAAGATCGGAGTAAGTATCCTGTGCAGGAGGCTTATAGTGTGTGGTGTCTGGGTTCGGTCACTGCTTGAGTCGTGAGTTGCTCAACAACAGCGAGGCGCAACAGCGAGTTGCGTTTGCGAGACGAAAAAGCTCGTGCTGCTTCCGACCCGGGCATCAACCCTGCCAGGTTTAAGGCTCGGATCGGCAACAAGTATCCTTTTGGTTCCGGGGGTTTTGGTTTTGGACAGAGGTTAGGGTTTAGGTGGCAGGTGCTAGTACACCTTTGTCTCCAGAACTCTTCTGAACTCTAAATAAGCCCTCCACGGCTACGCGCCCAGAGATCTCGCCTGGCAAGTCTGAGTTGTGAGAGCGTAAACCCCATTCGGGCATTTTTCGGAGAAGCGGGCATGCGGAAGCCGAGGACGGTTTTGCTAGTGCTGTCCATCGCGCTGATGAACCTGGTCACAGCCGCCAGGGCCTCAGAGCTTCGGAGGTTGAGGCGCTGCAGCATGCTTACTATTGCTATCGCAGGTAGGATTACTATGTTCTGTTTCTATATGACCCTAACTTACCAACCAATACTGCTGCTAAAGTATCTGAAGCAGAACAGCACATCGCTTGTTGCCTTCGGGAAGGTAGTGCTTGACAGTGGCCCACAGAGCCCAGGACCGCTTGTTCGAGCAGTAGCCCTAAAACCATATTAGGGGACCTTCCTTGACTGCTTGCCCTAAACCAGACAACCGCTCTGAGCACCCAACTCCAAGCTTTTGCAAAGCTCAAGTAACCGGTGATAAGCTAAAACACCCAGCATTGAAAGCCCGTATCAACCTCATGTAACAAAGCAAATTTTGATTGGTCTTGAGGTCATGGTCAACTCCTCTTTGGATCAGGTGCAGGGTGGGGGGGGGTCATTTTCAGGGTATCAGGGTTGTGTTCAAGAGTTGTCCAGAGTTTTTAGGGCTGCTGGTTCTCGAAGTTCAGGGTTCCTAGACGGTGAAATTGTAGGGTCCACCCCCGATTCAATAGCTTCCGGATTTGTTTCCCCAAGACTGATGGTTTGAATTGAAGAATTACCAGTTATTTACCAATGCCATTCCCTAGGGTTCCCTATCATAGTATAGTTAGACTGCAACATACTCCAAAGCCCTGGTCTACATGTTCGGCTCTTGTTCCTGCAGCCCCAAACCCAAGGGCCCAGAACTCAAGACTCTCAAGCCCCAAAGTCTGGCATCCTACAGCGGTCCTTTGGCAGTCGGCCTTCCGGTAACTACTGGCTAGCGCTCGAAATCAGGTTCGCCCAGACCCATAAATCATCAAAGTTCTACCCTAAATCCTACTGAAATCATATCCATAGCCGAGCCAAGGGGGGGGCCTAAGTTTGAGAACCCAAGCTATATCCTAAGACTTCCGTTCCAGGCCTCAGAAGACAAAGAGGTAAAGAAGGCAAGAAGGGCCTGCGGAGATGATATTCGATGCTGTGATCTTGTCGTGATTTGAGGTTGAGGTGTCGGGTTGGGGGAGGTCTTGCGCTCTGTTCAGGTACACCTACTTGGGCACTCTTCCGACTTAGTTAAACAGAAAGATTAGCAAAGTTTATAGGAGTCATAGCTGATACAGGTAGAGCCTTGAAGTAGTGCATCGAAAATGCTGGATTGGGGCATGGTGAGAGCATAAAGCCCCATCGTGGACTATTGCCGGCGGGACCAGGGACTTGAACCCTCCGATCTTGAACAAACCTAGTCCCTCCATCTACTCTCTAGAAAGACCCCACAAACCTACTGCTTTGGGGCCAGAATACTGTTTTGGGGACAGCATATAGCCTTGGATGAGGGTACAGGGAGGGTCCTGGGATCTTGGACCACAAATCCGGAACCCTCGAGAAGCCTCTAAGTCCAGAAGCCTTATTTCATCCTCTCACACACCACAGCATAAAAATCCATGGCTGTAGAACAAAAGCAAGAGCTCCTGAACTCTGGAAGGACTGAATTCATACATCCAGGTAACGGGACGTAGTTGCAGAAGGCCCCAGAAGAGCGACAAATTTCTAGTTGTTCAAAGACGATTCTTGTTTGAACAGGTGTCCGGAAGCGTTTTAGACCTCCTCCGGAACTTCCAAATCCCTTGGCACAGGCCTGGCTAGCGGCCAAGAAAAAGAAGCAGATGGAGGAGAGAGTTCTTTCGCTGTGGATTCATGGGTTCCGGTGGCGTGGGGTTTATGTTTTGGTGTTAGGGCCTGTTAGGGTTCACAAGGTCCGAGTAGTAATGACGACTTCGATTGATCCGCTTGCTGTGCTAACCTAGCTTCGGAAAGCGGCGCTACCTAGCTGGGTATGAGGGAAGTTTTCTTCGTGGTGCCCAGTCCGGATGGTTGCTATCCAGAAAATTAGCGACACCGGCCCTGATCACAGCCACAAACAAGCCACCTTTACCGGCAAATGCCCATGTTTGACCCTAAGCTGGGAGCCTTCCCCCTTCTCCCACAAGGCAGGACAAGACAAGACAGGACAAGATAAGGCTGCTTCGATTCATACAAACATGCATGTATACAAAACTACATATATATATATATATATATATATATAGATACTAACATATAGATACTGAGATGCTGTATTGATATAGTGTTTTCTACGCCCATCCATACACCCATGCATGCCGGCATATATACATATACACACGCACAGACCGCATGCATGCATGCCTACATATATACGTACATACATACATACATGCAGATAAATACAGGTACATACCTGTGTCAAGAAGCCTGGATGCCACATCATATCACCTGATTCCCAAATTACGGCATCGTTTAACTTACACGGCATTGACCATGTTGGGTTTCGGTCGAGATGTTTTGGAGGGCTGTCAGTCCCTCAAGCCAGATTGCGAGACTAAGACCATGGAGGTCTGCCAACCCGAGGCTTGGGCTTATTTTTTCACAACTCTCTGCGGGCCTCCCGTCAGGAGCTGAAAGTGATGTTCCATGAGTTGGATGAGGACGGAATTCTCCAGAAAGCCCCGAACTCTATGTTCCTCAATTATGGGGTGTGGCGCTTGTCTGTTTTGGAGGGGACTTTGCACACCTCTGGAGGTTCGGAGCCACAGGACCCTTAAGGCTTTCAGGTTCATCGGGGATGGCTTGGAATGCGCCTTCCATTGAGCTTATATATTTGGTCTATACTTTAAGGTTTGCGCTTCCGGCCTGCTTCTTGAAGAGGAAGGAGGTCATCACGAGACCCAGTCGTAGATGCAAGGTATTGAAAACTACCCTCCCCCTGTACCTTCCTTGACGCTAGCGGTCAGTCTTCATTTTGAGTTTTGGCTGTGTGGCTCCTATCATATTCTGAAGGGAGCCCGTAAACAGAAGGTTCTCTCATCATCTCTTATCCTTCCTTACTGCCTTGACAGAGACGCAGTCACGCTGTAGGGTGCCCTCGAACCCTATGTTTCTGTTTCACCCTAAACCTTCGAACTGAGAAAGCCCAAACCCTATTATGCCCAGAAGCCTTTGAAACTCGGAAGCTTGAAAACGTGAGAGATTGTGGGGCCTTTCAAAAAGATCGGCTGTCAGCGGCCCTTTGTCTGATAGCCTTGAACCCTGCAGTCTTCGCCCCGAAGCGATTGAAAACAAAACCCTGCACCCCTAAACCCCAAAACCCGAAACCCAAAAGCCCCAAACATCCCTTGAGAGGATGGAGCCCTAAACCCCAAAACCCGAAGCCCAAAAACCCCAAACATCCCTTGAGAGGATGGCTCCGGCGATCTCTCGCTGTCAGAAATCCGATCAGCGCCCGAGCATCTGCGTGCCGAGCTGCAGGCGGTCTTGGGTTCGAAGCAGCCTCAAGCTTAACGGTGTAAGGGTTTAGGGTTGAAGGGTCCTAAGGGCTTGTGGGCATGTGGGGGTTATGGTGGCTTATGGGATTTGGCATTATATATGGGATCTGAGAGCCGACAGGGTTTGGGCTTTGCGGTTTATATGGCGTGGGTTTTGAGGTTCTGCAAGGGTTCGGTAAGGGCACAGATTTACAGCGTAGGCGAAATTCATTTCAGGATTTCGACATTTCGGAAACCCTGAACCCCATCCTTAAGAACACACGCAACCCATTATAGAGTCCCTATATATAGACCATGCCACAACTTAGCTTTCTATCCTTACTAACGAAGTCGCGGGAGCTTGCAGGTATAGAACCCCCCCGTTTCAGCAGAGTCGGGAGCAGGAGCTCGCTGGCAGCGAGGACATCGAGCAGCTCTTCATGATGTTGGACTACGACGGAGGCGTTCGGCAGTTTGGGGGCTCAGACCTTCGGGGGTCCTTGAGATATGTCCCGCTCCACAGGTACTTGGAGGTCCATGGGCAGTCAAAAGTGGGGTTATAAGTAGGATAACTATAATAATAACCCATATTAGGGGACTTATAACTCTACTTACAACTGCCCATGAATCATGAACCTCCAAGTAGGTCAAGAACCTTGCAAGGCTCAGCAGAGAATTCTGCCAGCCTTGGACCTGAACCCTGACTAAGGTTACAAAAATCCTGAAGCGTATACTCTGCAAAACCCCAGGCCTTGTAGTTGTCTCGCATAGCATGCCAGGGGGCGCAGTCGACGCCGACGAGTTCTGTGAAGGGGTCTTCAAAGCGGCCAGCCCCTGGGCGAAGATTTCAGAGTTTTTTTCAAGCTCAGCATGGTAGAAGCTTTACATAGCTTACTTTGCTGCCACGTATACTTTATCCTGTTTGGGTCGCGCACTATAACCCCTATATAATCCAAGAGGGTCATGTTGGTCGCTCTGGAGAGATGGATTTGGAGTCAAGTGGTGCCCGTCCTGCTTCTTTTTCGAAATGCAAGCTGTGGAGGTATTAAGGTTTCGTTATTTCGAATCAGCTGGAGGGTGGGGGGTCTCAGAATTCCAGGGCGATGAAGCATGGCTTCAGGCACACAGGCCCCGAATGAAATAGCCCATGATTAGGCTCCCTAATATGTTCCTTACTAGAACACGGGTTTCTTCGCAAGATCCTTGAACATGTTAAGGATTGTTGGCGACCCCACCTTGCTTCGAGCCCTTGCTTAGTATAGCCCCTATATGCATCAGGAGTCAGGAGACGGGCTTCCCGGAACTACTCACCATGAGCCCAATAGAGGCAGTCAATGCGGAAACTCTTGGCTTCCCCCATATGGGTAGTCGTCAAAGCTATGGCCCTTTTTTGGGTACCCTAAATATCAGGTGCCGCACCATAAAAAGGATCCCAAAAGGGATCCTAATTTTGACATCCACTCATATGATTACGATCAGGGAACAGGGTTGAGGTTCCAGTGTCAACTCCCGAAACGAACCTAGTCTAACCGTTCGACCATCTTGAAGCCCGAAACCCACGAAAGTCACCAGGTTCCGACAGAACCTCCATGGAACTCGGGCGCCAGGGGCCGAGCTCCGGTTTTCCGATGTTTGCGGCTTCAGGGCTTCAGAGGTTGAAGGGTTTGGCGCATTGAAACACAGGGTTTCGGGTTTAGGGCTGCGATCTTGTTCTTGATGCTTCGGAACGAAGATCGGGGCTTTCCAGTCGAAGCCGTAAGGCTCTTTTTGCTGCTATCCCAAAGAGGTCTGCCTTTGAAAAGGGTTTAAAGCAGGGGGCTCAGGTTCATCAGCTCTTAATTACCCGCGGCTTCACTGCCCCCCCAGGCCCTTTGGCGGAAAGGGTTCCGGGAGTTCAGCTGTTGGGTTTCGCTGCAGCACCCTGGACCTTCAAGCCGAACCCTTATATACCTCAAACCGATAAACCCTTACATCTTGCCGAAGGTATCACGAAGCAGCCAGCGCCTGAGACAGACGGGCACAGCGCGAGAGAGTTCACGTAGCAACATTGTGTTTGATTGTTCTTGTGCTTGCGTCTGAGATGCAACCTCATCCTTGCCAACAGCCGCGTTCTGGCGAAGACTGTGCAGACCTCAGGGCAGGGGAGTTCGGTTTAGTTGGGTGGGCATAGACTCTAAGCCCCGAGCCCCATGTGCAACCATCAGCACTGTCCCTGCTACACCAGAAACCGATACAACTTCCAAACCAGAAGCCCATGTTGCTCTTAGACCGGAAACCGTTGTGGCCCTGGTCGAGCTTGAATGTTTTTTGTTGGTTGGGGGTTATACGGCTCTAGAGTCTAGGGCTCTAGGGCTTTAGGTTCCAGGGTTGTTGTTGTTTGTCTCCCCTTTGGCCAGGTTGGCTAGGAATAAGGGTTTACAACTCAAGGGTTTAAGGAAGGGTTTAGAGCTTCGTGCTTTTGGGGGGGTTTCGAGCATTGTGCTTTTTCGCTGGGTTCAGCGGTTTGGCGTTTAGGAATCAAGACGTTTCCGGTTTAAAGGTTTCTGTGTTGAGTAAGTGCATGCAGGTGCTTGGGATTTAATTTAGGAGTTATACATGGCAAGATCTTTGTACAAGGACTCCACACAAATAAACCCCGATTTCAAGAAAAGCACAAACCGTAGACCTCCGAAAGCCTAAGCCCACATTACATCAGATGCGATTGGAAGTCCCTTTCGCCAGGTGGTGGGAGATGAAGGAGCTGGGGCAGGCTTGCCAAAATAAGTTTAGGGTGTTGGGTTGCGGGTTTCAGATTCAGAGGGTTTGCCTCAAATCCTGAACCGTTTCGGGTTGGAGTTTTGGGGTTAAGGTTTCGGGTGGTTCGGGTTTAGGGCAAGTTCAGGGTGCGTACCTCCAGAAGTATTGGGTGCAGGGCTTGGAGAAACAATGTAAGGTTTGGGCTTTTATTCTGGGTTTAGGAAGATGTAGGTTTTAGGGTGCCTGCTAGAAGTTTCCGGTGCAGGCTTTTGGAGAATGGGTTCAGGGTTAAGGCTGCTTTTGTTTCAGGTTTGGGTTTAGGGTGCCTACGACAAGGGTTGCTGTGGAGTAAACCATTGAGTGAGCACAAGGAAGTTGGAGCTTTTCCATCTTGAACGGAGCTGCAATAGGCGGCCAACATATTCCCGGAGTGGTACTGGTGGCCCCTCCAGAACAGGGCTCTGAATAGTAGACCCTGGGCATCAGAACCTCCAAAAGGACAATCAACTACAGGGACAGCCCCCTTCGTCTGTTTCTTTTCCGCATAATCAAGACCGCTCCGCAGGATGACTTGTACTGCTGTAATGGAGAAGCCTGAAGAGTCATCAATACTATCCCTTGGGGCTCCTTATGACCATCCTTCTCGTATAAAATAGTACAAAAATATGCTAATTAAGATCCGATTCTTTTCTGGCCCCTCCACTAAGCCAGCCCTTAAGTCCCATGCTCGAAGCCTTGTTTCCGAAGCCCCAGTCAAGACGCTTATAAGGAACCGGAAGCTCAGCCTTAGATCCCTAAGCTCAAGCCCGTGAGCACAGGGCCTACGAATGCCACTCTCGAGCGACGGCCCAAGAACTAATCGTGAATAGAAAAGGCAAGAGTGCTACCCTAGATGAAGGCGGATCTTCATTGGGAAGCTGGGTGAGTGTATCCTGGAACTCCGTTTAGGTTGTTTGGGGCTTCGTAGGGGGGAGATGCGCAGTATCAAGAACAAGCTGAAGCAACTGCTAGAATGGTGGGGCACGGGCTGGGAGTCCTCATGCTCTTACACCACGGGGTTCAGGTCCTGCATATCCCAGAAGGCACCCGGCCTTGAAACGTAGTCCCAGAACCCAGAAGCGCCGAAAACCTCAAAACCTTTAATTGCGATTCCCAAGCTCAAGCCCCTTAGATTCGAATCTCCGAGCTGCCAAAGCCCCAAAGCCCCAAAGCCCAGGCCTCGAAGCCCCCTAAAGCACCAAAGCCCGTGAGCCCAAAGCCTGAGCTCCAACGTCTGAGGGGTCGGATTGGCAAGCTGGAGAGCGAGGTAAGCGGCATGAGGCCCCCGTGGGATCTGTCCACTACCGGGGTGTTCAGCTTGGCGCGTTTAGGGGCTATGGAGTTTCGAGGTTCAGGTTTCTAAGTTCAGGAGTGATCGGCTCTTGGGTTTAGGTTCTGGGCGGGGTCTCTTCATCACTACTTACTCTGGGGATTCATTGCATTCGGTTTCTCACAACAGCCAACCTACATCCTGCACCGGACAAGTCTGGGCGAGAATATCAGTGAATTTCAATTGTTTAGCATCTTTCGTTTTAGGCTTCCTAGGGGATCCCTTGATGTTTCAAAGTCCTACATGACTTAGTCTTAGGGATGAGCTGGTCTGAGGAGAGAAAGTCTCTCAATGCTGTGCTTGGCTAGCTTATACTCAAGCATCACGATTACCTGACCATCTTCGCTTCTGCAGCACGCTTTCTGCAATGTAACGTGCCGGCAGGAGCCAAGCCCCAAACCTGGATATCACACGGCTTGAACGTCCAGACCCAACCACCAGGAGGCTCAAATTGGCCGAACAGCCTAGATACTGTAGGGAGGTTCGCAGGGCCCTGAGATTCTAAAGCACCTATAATTTGAATCAGCCTGAGCTCAGGATGCACATTTCAGAGTAAAGTCTGTGAATCGGCGGCTCCATAGAAGATGACCCTCCGGGCTCCCAGTACAGCATGACGGCGAGGTCTACGATGCGACACCTGCTGAAGCTGGCAACTCGGACTGCATTAATCCCTCAAACCCTGTGAAGCTTTCAACCCGACCTACGAACCCTGAGCCCCATGAGGTGTGCTGTTGATCGTTTGAACTCACCGACACAGGTTGCTTCATTCACTTGTTATTCGGGTTTGTCAGTTATGTCCTTGAGCTCTTGTTTAGCGTTGTGTGCTCGTGTTGACTTGTTTTGAAACGGCATGCGGACGTAAGAGCAACCTTTGTCTTTGCCAGTTTCGAGCGGATGCTGAGCAGCGGGCTTGTAACAGCTTGTACATCGGCTTTTGCTGGGTTTAGGGCTTAGGGCTGCCCCGTGTAGTACTTTTGTGTACTGTCCTGCTGAGCACTCGCAGCTGGTTGCCTGCGGGAGTCGAAACCCTATGAATTTGCGCAGCCATTGCCGAGCCCGTAGATACGAAGTTGTCGGGGGCATGATGGCGGCGACGTTGGCATTGGGAAAGAAGTCTTGGGTACTGCCTGCTGCACCCAGCCCAATGTGTATCTGCGTGCTGGAAGAATGGTGCCAGGCCGCGCATCCTGAATTGCACTGGGAGCTTCACCCTTCACTGGGCGGTGCAACAAGCTCCACCATTCCACATGTGGACGAGCAAGATGCTTATTGTCAGATGTGCAAGGGGCAGCTTGGGAGTGTGCTGCAGCAGCGCCTGGGTCGACCAATCATCCCGGGTGATATTGAGTATGTCTCTCGACCAACGGGGTCCGAGTGGATTTGTACCATTTATTTGCACTGTGTATTATTTGCCGAAAGCTCTCCGAAGGTCTGCTTCGAAGGTCGGCCTGCAGGCACCAGGAAGGAGGCTGAAGAGAGCGCAGCTCGCGAAGCGCTTGTAAAGCTTCACACGACAGATGCACAGCTGCAAGTCGCTGACAAGCAGCTGGACGGCACCAGTGAGCTGTGCAAGTTGCTGCAGAAGCTGTTGGGCAGGCCGCTGCACAGCGAGGATTTCGTGTGGACCTACGAATTGAAGGAGGAAGGGTTCGTCGCTTCCCTTGAGGTCCCGGCATGCTCCCTAGCAGCAACCAAAGGTGGGGCGCGCAAGACCAAAAAGGAAGCGAACCAGAGTGCGGCACAGTCAGCTTTGAACTTCCTGCGTGATCGCTGCCAGAATCGAGACCTCAGCCAGGCACCACATTCACAAAGCAAGCCTGCCCCCAATTTTCGGGCTAGAGATAACAAAAGCGAGCTTTGCCGGATAATGCAGAGGATGTTAGACAGAGCGCTGACACCGGAGGATTTGCGATGGAGCTTCTCAGTGAGGCAGAACCTTTGGGTCGCCAGCGTGGCTGCTCCAGCATGCGGGCTTCATTCTACAGAAGGTGTTGGCTGCCTCACGAAGAAAGCAGCTGCGCAAAGCGCAGCTGGAAAGGCTTTGAGGTCATTGTGCCAGCTGCCACCTGGGCCGTTATCGGCTGTGAGGAGCCAGGAGAAGACTGATACCTCTTCCATGTGTCGGGCATATTTCTTTGAGGTGAGCGTGACCTGCGACCAGCAGCTTCTTGCACATGTACGTGGTCCGGTATTTGAGGATAAGCGTTTGGCCAAGCAAGCGGCTGCATGGCAAGCATGTCGAGCCCTCGTCCAGGCAGGAGTGAAATCGCCGGAGACGGATGCCAGTGCTCGCAGAGATGCTTCCCGTCCCCAGGTTCCGTGGCGGTGCGATCTTCGCGAGCTCCACGGCACTGCCTGCCCTCCCACGATCAGCACTCGAGCCACAAGCAGTTCCGACACTGAGGCTCCCACAACTCCGAGCGCCTCCATGCCAAAAGAGAGCGCAGGGTGCCGGACCTACTACGGAGAGATCGTGGAAGCTCTCAAGAACCAGAAGTTTCCGAAAGACGTTGCTTGCACACCTCAGCCAGTTGAGCCGTTGGATCCGAGGCATGAGATTGTTGTTCTATAGGTGCTTGCCGACAGGGGTGGGCCAGGTATCGCAAAAAAGAGGTCTCGCGTGCGGCATATCGAGATATCATCCGTTGCCCTTGACCCTGTAAGTTTCTCGTGGTACTAGTAGTACTATAGACATGATACAGCAGACACACGCCAATACTTTCGCAGATATTTTTCGCCAAGTCATTAGCAATGGAATTACGTGTATGCGCACTATCTGAAGTGTTGGTACTGCCCGGCGCGGGAGTACCTGGAGACTCCTCTTTGCCCGCTTCTCGCTTTGGGATTCGAGGTCATATCCTTGGAGCGCGGGTGTCCAGTGTACAGTAAGCCTTGAAGCTGGAAGCTTGAGGTGCAGGGGCTGTGTCGCATTACGAGGTTGGGGTTTTTGGAGTTTTGGCGTCGAAGGTCATGCGAACCAGATGGGGAATGCACTGCAACCCAAGCAGAAGCTGTTCATGAGACGCACCCTGGAACACTTCATGCCAGAAGATATGAGCAAGTTGTATGTGCTGCAGAGCACATGCCTGCAGACGACACTGTGCAGTAGCTAGAAATAGATTGGTCTGATAGTGTTGCTTCCTACATTTTTTCAAGAGGACGTAAGAAACACACCCAGAGTTTTAAGACGTCGCCACATACAAAACTGAATCACCCGTTGACTATCGCTTGGGTGCCGGTCATCACAAGAATCCGCTACATCCTGTCCCAGAGTGGGGTTTGGCAAAAGCAGGCCTTGCCCGCGTGCACGCAGCGCGAGCAACGTGAACATGAGTTGGTGATATCTCATCGTTTCAGCGTCTCTATTCTAACCCTTCTCTCTTCTCGTGTGCAGCGGTAGCGCTGTCACTAAGACCTAAGAGTATTCGACATACGCATGCTGCTTGCAATTATTCGTGCTGAGCACCATTGTTGCTACCGCAGCTGCTGCTCTGGTTCAAAAATGCGGGCTGCCATGAACGGAAAGCATGTTAAGCAAGACTTCCAAACCCCTGCGTCCGCGTGGACCTTGCACGACAGTGAAGGCCCGAAGGTCTCCTTCGAGAGAGAGCATGAGGTGCACTTTTCGTAGGAGGCTCCACTAAGTAAGTTGCTAAGTTCATTGCTTGAAGGCTTTGTATAACTGTAGATGCAGTCTCATAAACCTCCAAATCCCATTCTGAGGTTTGTAAGGCCCCTCTATAAATCAACCCACCGGCCTTGTTCAAGTTCCGTTACTCCCGTATCCCAGGTGGACAACATGCCAAGTTGATGATCCGGAGCACTGGGCGATCGCCTCTCCTTCGCTTCGGGATGTGCTGAGGTTCTGTTACTAGGCTGGGGCCTATGCCCTTAAACCCCACACATGGTGGTAGTTTCATGATGCCCATGAGCCTATAGGCCCGAAATCCTGCACGCTCAACTGGACTTAGAACACCCAGCCTGAAACATCCATACCTTTCACACCAGGGCTGCTGTATGCTGTCCAATGCGGGATATATTGCTGTATGCTGTCCAATTCGGGATATATTGCGGCGTAGAGTAAGGGGTCACTTGTAAACCCCTGAACACACCGCCGGAATAAAGCACTTGACCGTCAATGAAGGGCCAAGAGCTAAGAAAGCCCAATACGACGTGTGAGCACTCTGAATCGCAAGGCTCAGTAGCTAGGTTCTTCTGGCTGTATGTACTCGCCCTACTTAGTCGCAAGATCCTTGCCGCTTCCATGCTATGTGTACGTCCCTAAACCTTGAACCCTAAAGCGTAGCTTCGCAGCCCGAGCCGGGCTGAACCGCGGATCTTTGGTATCCCATGGTTTCATACATCAGGAATACATCTGAGACTGGACGCCTTCCGTGCTCTGACATCGCTCGTGGGGATTTGTCACCTCCTGGCAAAGAAGGGTTTCTGAAGCGCGGAAAAAGATCTGAAAACCTTATATAAACCCAAGACCCAAAGTGGGTTGTTGTTCCTGAAGGTCTCGATTCCAGGCCGGACAAGTCATAGAGTCGACCCTGAGGTCAATTGCACGAAGGCTCTACTTCACAGGTCTCAAGAACTTGTAGAACTGGCCTACCATACAGCACAACCCCATGACCATGATCATTACCTTTACATTTACATTATCGTTGTCTTCATCCATGTCGAGTTCCACGCCATGATCTATAGCGTTCTCATTATCACCACCATCACTACCACCACGAGCAGCACTACTCTTTTCATGATCTTTGTCGTCATTATCTTGATCCGAATCCTGACCCCTCCCCTTGGAAATATCATTTACATCATGATGACGGCCATTGTGTATTTGATTAGCTTTTGCTGTGCCCTTGTCAAGATTGACACTTACATTTAAACAGATTGTTTGTAAGTATGTCCGCATATCTTATGTCTGTAGCCCGCTTCAAAAGAGGCAGGTCATGAGGTCTTACGGATATAAACGAGCTCAATGTCGCCGTTAGCACCCGCCGTTCGTGTGAAGAGAGGGTTTCCTGGAAGCAGTTCTATGAGGGAGTTGGGGAGTTTCAAATTTACGAGATACCTTCTCGGGCCCCTAGACTGGAAAAAGGGTCCGACCTATGCCAAGGCCTACCCACGAAGTTCCCAGCGCAAGTGCTCCGATCGAATTCTCTTTTTGTACGCGCTTCGAGTGAGCTTTGAATAGAACAAAACGAAGGACCATAAAGGCTCTAGACAAGGGCATTGGTGTGCCTCAATATCCTGGTAGACCCCGCCTCAGAGAAGGGAGCTTAGGCTCCGTTGGCTCAGGGTTTAGAATGACATACTGAGAGGCACGGAAGTCGTCCAGCTTCTCGGGCAGTGGGCCCTTGTAGGCTTTCCTCGAGGGAGGATGGAATGGCCACAGCTTAGCTCCGGAGCCCCTCTGCTTCCCTTCAGAACTTGAGGGTTTAGGGTTTTGAAGGAGTGTGAGGGTTTATAAAGATTAGCGCTCTAAGAGTTTTGAGGAGAAGGGCTTTTAAAGTAACACGAGTCTGATTGTAGAGGGTTTTAGGGTTGAGAGTGTTCAGCGTTTTTGTGGTTAAGTTGGGTTTAAGCTTCTTTCCGACCCCTGATTGACACATCCCTCCACAGAATACCATAGCCATAGCGATTGAAAACACTAAGGCGCTTAGAGAAAGGGAGTCTATTAATCATTCACGGGTCTACATGAACAGCTTCAGGTTTTGGATTAAACTAGAACATCGCCCTACTTTCCCTGGTAGGTCTTGCTTTGAGCAGAGCTGGGCTTGGCCCAACACTCCGAGACTCGCTGCCGCTGCGATTGTCGAGTTTCACTGATCAGGGTAATGCTCCGGAAAGCACTTGTCTCTGTGCTCCCAGCCAATCGGGTGTGGGATTCTTGGCTCGATAGAAACATAGACTTGAACCCCATTCTGGCAACCCTGACATCTACATCGAAGTCCTATTTCATGATTTCGTTTTTGAACCCTGCAACGCAAAGAACAAATCAGCACAAACCGTCCACGCTAAATTCCAAACAGCCCAGGAGCCTCAAATCCGAAACGCGTTATACCCTAGAAACCTCATAAGCCTGCCTATAACACTCACTGGCAACTCCTGACGGAGACACGGTGCCTTCTTATGGCTGCTTTTCAGCAGCCACTAGACATGGCCTTCGAAGGAGGCTGTTGCACGTCGGACCGTGCCACGGAGACACCGCAGCGTCGGGGCTTCGAAGCTTGGGTGTATATAGTGTAGGTTCATGGTTCAGAGACGTGGTGTCGCAAGGACAAGACAAAGGCGATTAAGCCATAATCGAGAACTCCGCAAACAACAAGACACCGGACAGACCACAGCGGGAACGAAGGACTACTGTACAGGCTGTGACACTGGTGGTCGTCGTGATCGTCGTTATCACCGACTAGCAGTAGCAGTAGCAGTAGCACAGGGAGCAGGAGGAAGAGGAGGAGTAGCTTTGTACTAGTAGTGTAGTAGTAGTCATCGTCGTCGTCGGCGTCGTAGTAGTTGCAGTGCGAGCAGCAGCAGCAGCAGCAAGACCAGGAGGAGCAGCTGACCCACCACTGGTCAGCTTTAGGGTCACTGCCAGTTGCAATGGTAGCACGAGAATGGTGTGGCAACAGCAGCAGCATTGTTCAAACTCGACTTTGCAGCTGCCGCAAGTTTGACAGTGGTCAGGCCTGCGACGTCGAGTACTGTTGCAGAAAAGACATGCCAGCCGTGGCCACAAAGGTCGTGATGCCAACATCCACAGCAGCAACAAGTGCACAGGACAACCAGGAACAGCGATGATTGGTGTACGGAATAGGTCATGCTTCGAAAATCCGCCTGCGTGCAACTGCGGCATTTCTCGCTGAATTGTTGCCAGGTTCTGCATCACCAATTTGTTTCAGTAAATGTCAATGCTATCTCGCTGATGTACACTTGCTGAAAGCCCGAATCCTGCACCCTAAACCGACTCGGCTGCTGCAGGACTTAGGGCAGCACTTTGCGGCGATGTTATGAGGAGACGGAAGAAACTGTTAAACACCAATGTGCTTTGTGGGGTTTAGGATGAATTCGAAGCTAATTGAGACGTCTACGTACGATGTTTAAAGCTCTTCCATAGAGCTCCTTTTTTCGACATGTAGTATACTATACCCCAAATCCCGATGCTAGCTACTCAGGCTCCTAGCCTTAGGGCCTTGGGCTTCCTTGTTCTCCCGATTCGAAGGATTCGGGCTCCTACATTGTAGAACCATTATACCAACTTGGCTCCCAGTACACCCCGATCCCCGATGCTTATGACCCAGGCTACTATATTATGCATGAATCCGAACCCCTGTTCAAAACTGTCAAGGCGAAACCATCCGACAGCTTGAGCTTTTGGCTTTGGGGATTTAGAGTTTTCGGTTTTGGGTATCGGGATATTTAGGGTTTCAGAGTTTAGGGCGGCATGGAGGGTTATCGTGAGATTTGGGCATGCATTCGGGTCTTCCTTCAAGGATGGTTCTTCAAAGATGGCCCCCGTGACATCCTAAAAGTCCGTAAGCCCGCCAACCTGATCTTACACCG